TTAGTAATTGCACGTTTATAAGTAATCGATTCGAATCAGAGTGTGACACACATAAGCGAATATATTCGCCCAATATGGGCGAACGTCGACGAAATTGGGCGAACATCGACGAACACCGGCGAACGTTCGAACATTTCACTGGAACACACCGACAGACGGACACACGGTTTCATTCGGTAAAATTGTTTTTTACCGCGTTTGAGATGCAAATACCCCATAGTGCGGCCTCGCGATCGATCTCGTTGGAGAAACTAATTACGCGTCGAACACGGGCTGAATAAGTCGATCGAATCCGCTAATGGTGATTCAGGGGCGGAGATTATTATCTTGTCGTTCGGAGCCACACGCGTAAAGGACGAGACTTAGTTCCAAATGGGACGCGCCGGAGACAGTTTAATTGCGGCGATGATGTACTCGAGAGCGGCCGCTCGGAATGTCCGTTTCGTTATCGAAACGATTAGAGTCTCATCTTACGGCGTTCTGTGCCGTGATACCTGAAATTATCGAAGAAAAAGGGAGGAAAAATATTTCTGCAGAGTTTCATGCTTGCCGAGGCAACTGCTTACAGATGGATCTTAAAGTTTCCGCTTTTTATGCGTGTTTCGGGGAATATCAAACTTAATTTTTTCAAACTAGTTTCTCCGTGAGCGAAGGAAGTGCTGTTTAAACTTCTTGTTAATTGACTGTTAATTCGTTTATTTCGAATATTCTAGCAACGATTAAAAAGTGTATAATCAGTGGTGGATGTCATTTAGTGATCTACCGAAGCATCTGTTATTATATTTTTTAGTATTCATATTTATACATTTCATTATATGCATGTTACAAATTAATTTCAAGTCTCTAAAAAATTTTTCAAATCTTCAAAACTACGTAAAAAGATCCTTCGTTCAACAGTAGAAACCGATCCTTGATCCGGTTTTCGCAGAACAACCAACGAGGATGTACCTAACAATTACACCTACCTAAACATTATTCCAACTAAAATCATCCATAACTTTCTCCGAGATTCCATATTCAGTTCTAAGAAAATTGGGAATATATTCCGATTCAACAACATGTCTAGCTTCCTTCTTTCCTCCGTCCACCTGCCACACATCGCGATCATCAAACGGTCGACCCCACCGTCCAACACTTGCCACTTTAAACTTCAACCTTGAACCCAACAATTCTCGCGTCATCTTCGAAACGTTTCCATCCGCGGAGCTCGATCGCATTCCCACCCTCTCCCATAAAAAAACCCCTCAACAGAAACCGATCCTCAATCTGATTCCCGCAAAACAACCGACAAGAACGCGCGTCTACATGAAGAGCTGCGCTCCGACCGTAAACGTTGCCTCGAACCGCTGCCTCGATCATTATCGCTAAAACCCCGGCGAACGTGTCAAAAATGACTGAACACGGTACAGTTATTATTGCTTCCTCCGGCGCGGCGAGTTGGCAGAAGAAATGACAGGAAATTTGACGGGGACAAGGAAGGCCGTCCGCGCGTCGCAGAGCTAGGCAGGGACGGAGGATCGGGCTGGAACGAGAGGAGCAGACACGGTGCGCGTTCGCTGAGAACGCGCGGTTAGATGGCTTATTTGTAAGCTCGTGTAAGGTGCTAATTTGCGAAGTACACGGCCGTACACATATACACGTGTAGCCGGCGGCGGGAAAGAGTCGGCAGACGAGGAAGGAAAGTATTAACGGCCGCCGAGGAGAAAAGTAACCGCATATTTACGATAGTTAGCCCAAGAAATTTCCGCCTTGCCCACCTTGCGTCGGAAATCTCCGGCGCTGCTCCCGACGCGACGCGCAGCGCTAGTGATGCTGGTCCCCGAGGCTGAACAATGAAACCGACCGGACCCCGAAGATTATAATACCTTATCCCGCGCTGCGTGTTTCCGTAAACGCGAAAGTTTCATCCCCCGTGGAAACGGCGGAGCATCAACGACTCCGCGATTCCTTTTGCGACCGAGATATCCAGTTTGCGACTCGATGGGTCTGGTTTATCGCCGGCAGTTCTGCGGTTTAAGTTCTGCGACTCTACGCTTGTGTTTGTAGACGGTTGCCAGTGGAATTTTATTCGTTAACCCTTCGCCATGCGATTCTCTTTCAAGCTGGAGTAACTGATTTTATCGATAGCTTGTGAAACAGGCGAAGGTGTTTTTTATTTGTCGAAAGTATATGTTGTCTTTGGAGGTGAATTATCGGAAATAGGCGAATAGTCCTTTGAATATAGATAGGCAACAGGGGACATTGATTTTCGTTGTATTCGTTTGGAAATCTTCGCCGTGAGTCTCGTTTGTCATTCGAGTTACATTTTGTTTGGTGTATTTGCCATCGATGTGACAAGATATTCTAAAGTGAAAGATTGAATTAGGGTTCAAGGAAAGATTGTAATTAAGAAGCAAGTGTATTTGCTTCTACGGACATCTAAGGGATGTTTAGAACTTCGGATATTTCAAATCTTATACAAGTGTAGTTTCAATTTTCGTGCCTCTCGTGAACCGAAGTAAAATTGGTATTATGTAATGCATAATCGCAAGAATTCACTTTTAAGTGTAAACAAAGAACCGTCTGACCCATATAACCGTTGAAGCGGTAGTCAACGCGTTAACGTCGCGTGAAAGAGTCGAACCAGAGCTGACAGTCTTTCTTGAAGCTTTTAAAGCGCGGGAGCGGGCTTTAAAGCAAGGAATTTCGTTGGTAAAGCACCTAGGTCATTTGGTGCATTAGCAGCCAGCTCACGACCCTACATTTACAACATCGAGCGAGTATCCGTAATTGCCAGCTGAAATTACGGCTGGTTAAACTTCGATGGTTCGCGGTCCCATTGGAAAAGAATAATCGGGAGACGCGCCCCAAATGGTAAACAGCGTGGAAAGGTTAGAAGTTATATTTGCAGAAACAGAGAAACGAATGTCCGACGCGGCGACTATAATCACGATTCCGTTCCGAACGTTCGTGGTGTTTGGTTCTGAGTAACGCTGGTTGGTAACATTTGAAAATTAACTTTCTTATGTGAATCAACTGTTCTTATTGACATGGATATTAAAAGTTGTCTTTTGTCATCGGATACAAGATGTCTCGTTCACATATTACAGTACACGCGGATGTTCAAAATATAGTAAAATTGTTATTTGAACTTGATGCTATCGTTTTATGTTAAAAACATGCGTTATTCTGTTTAGCCTTTTATTTTGTACGTTCGTTGCTAATATATCGCTTTTATTAATTTCCAGATAAGCTGTACAATTCTGTTAATGATTTAAGACGCTTCGTGATATCATTTCTTCCTTACACTCCGTGTCAATTTCACGTAGATGCTTGACTGCTACGAGCCTCGAAGAAAAAGAGGAGCGGACGAAATGAAAAAAGACGGGAATGGAGGCGAGAATGAAATTACGAGGAAAGAAGCAGTAAACCAAATGAAATCAGCAATAAAGGAAAGTATAATTGGGTAGACGAAGGGTGAAAGGAGCCGCAGAATAAAGGGACAAACCGAGAAACTTGGACAATAAAGGTTGAAAATTGCGCCAGGATAAGATGCACTCAATGGAGATGCACGATCAATTTGCACACGAGAAATGTAAAATGTTCCTTTATACTTAATGAAGCACACATCGTCGTAAATACCTTGCAACTTACTAACTACCAAACGACTCCTTTACCCAACGGTATTTCCAGTTAACATTTAAGACCCTTATACACAGAAATATCAAAATCACGCTATGAAGACACGTCAACATTTCAATTTCGATGATTGATATTCTCAAACGAAACGGCAGGATCCATTAAAAGCACAGTTCCCTGCTACTAAATATTCGAAAAGTGAACACGGGCTCGTAAAGACACCGAAAATGGCCGCGAGCCAATTCGACCGATCCTAGACGGATTTCAGGATGAACGACCCGTAGCCGGGATTGTTTCGTTAGAACGAAATACATAGCCGGTAGGCGAGCGCGTGCATGCCAGCCTATCGGTTCGGTTGGACGGTTAATCGTTTCTGCACGCAAATTGAAACTGTCGACTGGACGAGGTCATTTAGTTCTAAGGAACGGTCCGTGTCGCGGTCTAACAGCGGTTAGATATTAACCCCGGCGTCGTCGTAGTCTCGTTAACCCGCAAATTGATTCCGCCATTATTCACCGGCATACGATACGCTCGGGCTATCGTGTTTTGATGAGAACCGCGCCGCGCCGGGATACGCTCGGCCTTTAATGAAACGGACGATATCTAAATACGCGCAAACGGAAATATACGGGCCGGTTTTTGCGCCGCCGGTATAAATTCAAGTTTTATTGCCCTTTGATATTTCACGCTTTCATAGGTACTTACGCGGCGTCCACCGCGCGATTCCGCTTAAACAGAGAAACTTTTGCTCATTAACCCGTGCAGACATCGAAACGATTTTGCATTAATAAATATTCGAAACGAAGAGGATTGGACGCAATTAGACCGGGCACCAATTAATTTTCTTCGCGGCTGAACGTGCAGTTTCCTAATGAAACCGCTCGCATCGTCGTTCTCTCGAATTGATCTCCCCTTTTTTCGTCCTTCGTCCGATCACATTTTAACTCGTGATCGCGTGTGGAACGTTAACGCGTCGACTGATACAGCGGAATAGTTACTTATTATTTGCTACCGAAATTCTTACACTGTTATTCAGTTATTCACGATATTGAACGTACGCATTCGACATCAGTTATCTGACAAGTTATAATTCTTCTAGAGTAATTGGAAAGTTCCGGTCATCGATGACCGTGATAGTCAACGTGCTAACGCGTCTACTACGAATTTTTCTTTGGCTACTGTGGGAGAGGGAAGTACGTCATCGCGTCGTTGAAAGATATCGCTCACTTTTGAAACGTTAGGAGGGATACGCGCGGTAAAGATCGAATGAATGAGACACTCTATTGCGGGCCGGTTTGAAACGAGTGCTTCCCAGATTTTAATTGCACGAACGGGCGAGCCGGGAATCGTTACTGATTTAATTAACGAGCAGTTATTAAATTTATACGCCAAACTCTTAGTTCAGGTATCGATTTAATTAACGGAACGAAAAATAGTGAAATTTCTGTGGTAAGTATTGGACATCAGTTATCGCGTGTCGATATTTAAAAATGGCCGGGGGTAAAAAGAGCGGAGCAAGTGTCGTGGCAGAAGTAAATCCCTCGAACGTGAAGCAGCGTGAAACCGCAGGAACCGAGGCGTTAAGAGGCCCACTAGAATTTTTTAATTAAATCCGTGCAACAATCGCCGTTATTTTCCTTGCCAAATGTTACCTTAAACGTTTACTTTCTAACGGTATCGCGATAGGGACTCTAACAACCCGTTCGGTACCTGTTTCCCGGCGGGCAATTAGCATTCGCGTAAAATTTCATTATGTACAGAGTCTACTGAAACGATTCTTCATTCGCCGTTATTGAAAGAACGAACGGTTAACTCGGGGCTCTGAAAAAAACATATTTCATAAATCTTTGGTAATTCTTTTTCGGTGTTTCTGAAACACAACCCGTAGAAAATTTTGTGATCAATCAACGTGAATCGACCATACATCACGAGTCAAGTAACCTAAACGCTAAAATATATAATTTTCTCAAATACATGATTACTCGCGAGATCATAGCGACTAATTACACAACGAAGGTACAAATTGAATAATAAATAAACTCATTCTGTAATCTTTATTATCCTTCTTTGTATTTGTATCTTTATTATATTCCTCTCCTCTAAGAATTACCAACGTACATAAGCTTTCCGTTAAAAGTGTCTCGACCAAACAATGAAACCAGCATCGACGAAAAATGAGTGATTAACATTTTCAAAAATACGCTCGTCCAGTGTCTCCAAAAACAGGAACTTCCGCCGCGGTGATCGTTGATCGCCAGCCATCCGTGCCGTTCAATTTGCATTTATATTGTATTAATTTAAAAAAACGGCGCGATCTCGGCGGAGAAGAGAGGTCGCTGGGGCCGACGGGAAACCGTAGGGCAAAAATGGGAGTCGCCCAGAGCTAAAAAAGAAAGAAAGTAACGAGAAAGCAGTTTACCCGCGTTGCCGGCTTCAATTTCCCGAATTACGCGCGCGGTAAAAGCGTACGTTCTATTTGTGACCCATGAACCGAGTTACGGCTCGCTCTTCCCGTTCCCCGCCGCCGCCTTCCGCCATTCCCGCGCCTGTCCCTTGTGTATCCGTTTATGTACGGCCCCTTTTTTTCGCGATAACAAGATTTTCAAGACATTCACCCCGAACAATGATTCACCGCGCGAAAATCCAACCTTCGGATAGAGCGGGCACTCCGCAAAATCTTTTTAGAGTTTGAATTCGACCGAGTTCTCGAAGAATTTTACGAGAACAAATTTTACAGAACATTTTGAACTACGTTTTCATGAATATATAACTATCCGACTTGCTTTATTTTCGAGATGTCATTTCAGATTTGGAAAATTTGACGGTAGAAATGAGAATTCTATGAGAGGTTTGTTGTTCAATTATTATTGCCTTCTCGATATAATTTTCATGTTTTATTTATATGAAGAGAGTTCATGATTGCACAGTAACAATTGTGTACATCGACGGAATTTTCAAATGTCTCAAAAATTAGATATTATATGTTAGCATTAACATATTTCATTTAATATACGTATCAACCCTTCACAATCGACAACAATCTACATTATAAGTATTCACTATATTCTAACGAAACGTCGATAGCACGTTTCACGAGTAACAGAAACAAACATCCTGCATACATTAAGTATTACTGTTTTATTCCAATGTTTCATATATCAGTTCATGGTACAACATTTTAATACGTTAACCGCCATGGTGGTCGCCGATGACCAAAGCTTCCAAAATGCTCGAAGACAATTATATAAAAGATATATAGTTGTAAAGAAGTGTAATTGTATTAACACATGTAACTAAAAAATAGTATAACACAAGAACTATGATACCATTAACAACCAATTCCAATACCATTTGCCTTCGTCCCGAGGGAACAACATCATACAAAACGCTCAAAATTCTCGTAGCGGTCAACGTGTTAACATCAAATTTCAAATTTTCTAATTCATCTGCGTTCCATTAAATGGCAACTAAGAATCACCTTCCCAATCCGAATGCTTCAACACTCATTAAAGTTGTTTTCTAAAGCATTCAAGGATCACGCAACATCGTCCAAAGCGAGGAGTTAGTAATCTTTCGACAAATTGACCCCGGATCCTTCCGAGCCATCGAATTTCGGAGCGGCGAACAGCTAAAGCTGCCACGGATTGTTACGGAGCAATGCCAGTTCTGAACAAAGGTGTCGATAGCAAGCTGGAGGCGCGAAGTTATTCAACCGGAGCCCGATAGTCCGCAACTGCGAAACCTATTAGACCGAATGGCGTGACTTCTCCGCTGGTCGCAGGTTCACGTGGTCGTTGCGAAGTTCGCGTGACGAGCAGTCACGGTTATCAATAGTAAACGAGTCGCATTATGAACTTATCGCGTAGACAGTTGGCGAACAACTTAACCATTAAACTTACGGGGCAACGATAC